TGCGCAGTCTGATCTGAGAATTAAACCCTACTTTAAAACTTTAGCAAGAAAAAAGGAAATTTCGGAGGTATGGCAGCGTCAAAGTAGCATCTACTTTTTTTCTTACTCCTACTTTGAGCCTATCAGGACCTATTTTGAGCCTATCAGAACCTGCAATGCGCAGTCTGATCTGAGAATTAAACCCTACTTTAAAACTTTAGCAGGAAAAAAGGAAATTTCGGACGTATAGCAGCGTCAAAGTAGGATCTACTTTCTCTCTTACTCCTACATAAAAAAAGAAAAATTGAGGTTCAATGTAGACGCTAAATTTCGACTCGGGTGTACTCAAAAAAATTGAGACAAAGTCTCTCGATGGTCTGCTTCAAGAGCGGATCAACCTTCGAAAGAATCGGACACCCTGTATGCTCGCAACACTTTGCGGACGCGATAAGCGCTTGTTGTGCGCAAAGTTGGAAGTCGCGCTCGATTGCGTTCTAATCTATTTTCGCGGGGATTTCGAAAAAGTTCAGTTTTCTTACCACCGGAGCGTCGCTCTCTCGTAATAAACGACTCACTTAAAGGCTTAAGGCTCGATACGCGCGAGCGTAATCCCGGAAAAGGGATTTATATCTAATCTGCGAAGCGCCGCCGCGCGCGGAGAGGGACGCTCGCACACACTTGCGCGTGCGCTCGCGGTATCGCGCGCGCGCGAATATACGCGTTAAAAATACGAAAAGCTCGCACTTCTTATTTATACGCCCCGGTCGCTCTATTTTCGACTCTCGGAATCTGCGGTTGGCGGTCTCTTTCCGACTTTCGGTCGCGCATGACTTTTTCACGACTGGAGACTCCCCTCGGGCCCGAGTCTCTCTTTCCCCCCCTCCCTCCCATCTCCCGTTACAGGATAAAACGGTTGAAAAATTGATGCGGTCTTTTACGGAGAAACGTCCCGCGAGCTTCGCGATAATTCCCGATAAATTTTTCGCACTGTGCGGCGTCCGTGTGACGAATGGGAGGATTGCGCGCCGTTTCCGGGATATCATCAACGCGCGTCGCTGCGATATTGCATTAGTTTTTTTCACGTAAAGATTATATACATGTACATCGGATGTGTGTGTGTGTGTCTGTCTGTCTTATCTTCCCTCTCGCTGCGAGAAAGCGCGATGCATTTCCGTCGCATTAACGTCACACTTTCATTCACACACGCGCGGAATATAAACGTTTTCAAACCCGGAGCGACGAGCTCTCGTCGTGAATATTATCGATCGCATGATCTTGATACCGCGCGTAAAAGCGCACATTTATAGAGACCCCTTACCCTTTAAACCTGGAGGAGGAGAGAGACGTTGGAGATCGTATCGCGCCGATCGCAGGATTCAAATAAGTTTGTAATTACATCGGGAGAAACGCTAAATTACACATCTCCCTCGCAGGTGTACCAACTGCCGATGATTTACGGGAGGGAGAGACAAATTACAAACATCGCGCGTTGCGCAACCGGGCGCGCGCATCAACTATTAAGCAAAAATCTCTGATAAACGTGTCTCTATATATATGTTTCAGGAGAAGAACTCTTTTCTGAATTACAACGTGTCCTGCATCCTGACGCTGCCTCCTTACCAAAGAAAGGGTTACGGTCGGCTGCTCATTGATTTCAGTAAGTATATGTACGCGCGCGCGCACACATAAGTAAGAATTTCTGCTCTCGAAGTCTTCAGACCAAGGCGACACACAGAGATGACGACACTTTTACCGGCCGTCGAAATTGAAAGGATGTACAAAAACTTAAGTAGATAGAAGAGATAGCTCGTTTGGCCCCGCGGTTTCCTCATCGCCGCGGCGGCGCGATGCCGATGAGATGATGAAGGAAGGGCGGCGCGTGTTTGCGGTGAACCGCTGACGATCTATACGTGCTGCGCGAACGTATATATATATATTCGAAACGAACGGCCGCTCTCTCTCTCTCGACGTTCTTTGGTCGTTGAACCTCCGGAAGGCCGAATAAAAAGGCCTCGCGCGTCCTATTAGCGCTAATACGGCCTCGCGACGCGAAGCTACGCTCCGCGTGCCGCCGCTTCGTAAGCGCCGCGAGGCGTCTTCTTCCATAAATCATTTGAAACGGAAATTCTTTCCTGCGCTCGAAAAAAGCCTTATCCAGTTTTTTTTTTTTTTTTTTTTTTAATAAAGTAACATATGTTTTTTTTCTAACAAGTCATTTTTTTTATTTGCGTTCGAGATCTTGGGCGATTTTGCATTTTGCCAAATTATCGCGCAAGATGCAACATTCGCTCGTGTGTGTTTCTCTCTGATGTTTTTTTAATTTTTTTTTTTTTTTTTTTTTAATCTACAAGATCGCGATCGATCGATTTTATCGCGAATCCGTAGATCGATGCGCGTTACTCTCTTCTCCCCTTCTCCTCTCGTGCCAATTCCGCGAGCTCCAACACCACACGGCGATTCCTTCATCGACGTCGTAGCCGGCACGCACGCACGCACGCACGCACGCACACGCGTTTGTCTCTCGGCGCAAAGCGTGGCGCGTTGATAATTAAACGCGGAGGGCTTTTTGCCGTGACGTCATTTTCATTGATGCCGAGCGGGCGTCGGCGTCGTCGTCGGCGGCGGGCATCGCGGCGCTGCTACTACACCGCTAGAGTAGTAGGGGAGGAGGTGAGGCTTGCGTCGGGAGTTGGCTGGCTGGCTGGCTAGCCTGGTTGGTTACTCGAGGGTCGACGTACTGTGTGCCGCTCGGTGGTGTGTCGCTCGGTGTGTCGGACGGGGGGTGATTTCACGCACACACACACACACAGCCCCCGCCGGCTTTTCCGCGCACGAGCTAGACGGCCGCCCTCCCGCATCCCCTTTCGCCACCCCCGGATGCCGGTGCCATCGACTCCGCCGTCGCCGGCTGTATTTCGACTGTGCGCGCAAGGCCGACGTTACGCGCCCGCGCACCCCGCGCGCGAAGTCGCACTTGGAATCATCATGAATCTCTTTTGCGGGAATGAATTGGAAAAAATGTTTAAAATGTTTTATATTATATTCCGCCGTGTGTATTATTCGCAAAAATTATTATCAAAATTATCTCGCGAATTACGATTAAATATCGATTCGACAAAGTGAGAGAGAATTAAGGTTGTTAAGAACAAGTTTGATGTAAAATAATTTTTACAAAAGAAAGTGTGTGATTTCAAGATAATTTTTTTGTTCTTTTCTTGCCACTTACTTATCCTTTTATTTTTTAATTATCATCCGATTTGACTTGTTTCTCAATATTTATTATGATTGACCAGCAAGCAAGACTTCGGCGTGTCACACGTGTAACGTTAAAAAACCACATTTCCGCTATTCGGAATCTCATTTCGTCCGTTTTAAAAAATCTCAGAACTCTCTGCTCTTCAAGAATGTATCGATACTTCCCGGCGTAGAGTAGTATCGCGGTATTGTCTCCGACGACGGGGGGGCGGAGAGGGGGGGGAAGGGATGATAGGGGTGACGCGGCGTAGGTTGGAGAGCGAAGTGGTCTGCGGAAAGTGCGACGCCCGACGTCTCGCCGCATCGATCGACCCCCGCGGCCGCTCCGCGTCCCCCGCCGCACCGCGCCGACGTCGCGCACACGCGTGCAGACACGCGTGCGGATTATACGCGTACACCCGCGCTTCCTGTCTCACGCACGCGGCGCGCGTTCTCTCCTCTCCTAGGCAACCGCCCCCCCCCCTCCCCGTACACCTTGATCCCTACGGCAGGGATCTCTCTCCCGTACCTGCCCGCCGTTCCTCCCACTTCTGTTCCGTCGACTTCTCTGCCATCCCTCTCTCTCTCCGGCCTCCCCGCGGGCCCCCCTCCCCCCCGAAGGGCTCGGGAATTGTATGACCTCTCGTGACCTCGCTCTACTACCCCCCACATAGGATTGGCAGGGTCACCGACGCCCTTTCCCTACACCTAGGGAACGAGAAGTGCACGACATTGAGGCGGGGGAGAGAGGAGAAGCAGTGTTGGGCGAGGGGGGTCGAAGGGGGGGCGAGGGGTACCGCAACGTTGCTGCGACTGGGCACGGTCGGTCGGTCGGCGTGCAGCATCTCCGACGCAGCGCGCGCGCCTTCGTCAGACCGAAGGGCGGATACACATCGCCGCGGCATCCCGGCCAGACGGGACCCCCAAACTTGGTGTGTGTTCCTTCCTACTTCATCCTCCCTCTCCTCGACGTGCAAATTTTTTTTTTCCCCGAGATCGCCCCCGTGATATCTCGAAGATGAATCGTCCTTGTCCGCGAAAAATCGCAATTGAGCGCGCGGAGTTTCGCTGAATTCGCAAACCCCCACAACCTGTCTGGCGAAAACGCGCGTTCTGGAGCGTAATTGGAGCGCACATGTTTTCTCACCCTCTCTCTCTCTCTCTCTGTGTGTTCGTGTTAAAAAATTTACAAGTCAGTTGCGAGCGTAAATTTAATAATACGAAAGCGATGCTCAAGAGGAAAGAAAATAAAGTTTTACAGACGGAAGAGTTTTTGTTTTGATTTTGCAACTCGACGTTGCCGAGCGCAAAAATTATTTTACAAAAATCCTTTTCAAAAGAGAGAGAGTCGTGGTTCAAAGATTGAATTATCGCGAGAGAGTTTAAGTTGTCGAGAGATACTTAATTCCGTTACGGCGTGTTGAAAAACGCGCTCTCTCGCATGGAAATAACCCTCGAGGAGTAATCGTCCTTGCAAGCGCTCTGTGATCTTTTTTTTTTTTTTTTTTTTTTTTTTTTTGTTTCCTCGCGCCGATACTCGACGAAACAGTGCGGAAGACGAATATTCCAGACGAGTCGTAAATCCTCGTCAGCGATTCCGACAGCGCAACGAACTACTCTCTCAACACACAGTACCCAATTTTGCCATTCGCACTCTTTCGCGAATCGCACCCTCGGCTCGTCCCCCTCCCCCCTCATCGAGCCGACCCTGCTCAGAAGAGAGACCGGGACGTTTTCTCCCTCTTCCTTTCTCTCTCTTCCTCTCCTTTTCTCCCTGTCCCACGCCGCGATCCGTCTTCCTTTCTCTCCCACCTTCGCTCGGCGGTCACCGTTTTCCTCTTTCTCGAATTTCCACCCTCGAATTTCCTCCCCTCCATTCTCTTCCCTACCCTCTCCTTTCTCTCTCTCCCCCTACCCTCGTTCTCTTCGCCGACACACCGATCCCGAAAGTCTGCAAACTGAACGGACGCGTAATGAATGCGTTCAACCCTCCCAAAGTAATCAGCGGCGGGAAGATGAGGGGGTGGTTGGGCACCGTGGAGCATCGAGAGAGGCGGGAGGGTTAGACAGTGTCTGTCGAGAAAGAGAGAGAGAGAGAGAGAGAGAGAGATAAAGAGGACGGAAGAGGGATAGAAGTGTCCTCTCTACCCGACGGGAGATACACAGTCCGCGAAGGACTGGAGGAGCGGCGTGGAACAGGAGAGAGACACGGCGGTGGTCGTTGAACCCTTTGCCGGCCGGGGAACACCCCGGACACCGGGAACGGAGGGAGATCGCAGGATCGGGGTGTCCTCAGGTCCGGGGGGTCTATGTGTTTCGCGCTACATTTCTTTCTCCTTTTCTCACTCGCCGTCTTCTCGCCCCTGAAACAAAAAAAAAAAACTGTTTTTTTTTTTCCACAAGCGCGAGAAATCGATCGATCCGCTCGCGTTGATTTTGCGGCGAGATAACGCGGAGATACAAGCGCGCGAAAACAAACCAACAGCTGCGATCAAATTAGAAACGTTTGAAAATCCACCTCTCCGAAAAGAGATGTATTTTTTTTTCTCGCGAGCGGAATTTCGCTCACGGAATTTTTCTCACGGGGGTGGACGACGCTAGCCGCAAAGGTGCGCGGAGCACAAATATTTTTCTAAACTTCACACCCCGGGCGACTCGAGAGTATCTCGAAATTTGAATTAATACGACGACTCTTAAGAGTCGCGCGGCGAATCAGAGCTCTCTCTCTCTCTCTCTCTCTCTCTCTTGGAATCCCATTCGGCGGGGGCGTTGCAAGGTAATCTCTTAACACTTAATTAGCTCTCGTACTCTTTGATCCATTAGCCGCGCGAAAACGGCATTCAGAACTTGAGAAACAAGCGAGCTTCTTAGGCGAGAGCGAGATTTATTCGGCGGAAGACGGTCAGAGATCCGAGAGAGAGAAGATCACTTTGCTAATGAAGAAGCTTTTGAACTTGCGGAGGGTAAGAGAGAGAGAGAGAAAGTTCTCTCTCTCTCTCTCTCTCCTCTCGAGGTAATAATTTCAGGAATGCGACGCTAACGAAGATACTAATCGCGAGCGACACGCTGACACATCCGCGAGAATCCGTCGATCGTGTGTCCACGTGTGTACGCGCTTATACATAAGCGCGTACCCTCGTGCGCACGGCGGCGGGTTTATACATAATGCAAGCTGCAGTTACTCCCGGTGCTCTCTCTCTCTCTCTCTCTTTCTCTCTCTTGCGGTGCTGTCCCGCAAAATCCATGCAAACTCGAACGAACGAGCTACGCGCGAGCCATTAAATCCCCGTCTCCTCGGCGCGCGCGTCGTCCCCTCTCGAGATTGACTTTTACATATTCCAGCCTTGAATCCCGCGGATTAATCTTGTCTCTCTCTTCTCCCGCTCTGTGTAACTCGCGCGCGCTTTCCGACTTGCGACTTCGTCCGAGAATTTTCATCGCGCGCGCGCGCGCGTCGCGTGTGTTTACATTTTACGTTATCGAGCGAGAGATAGGAAAACGTCACGCAACGCGCATTCCCGTTTCTTGGTTTATCACACAAATTCTATTTGTAATTCCAAATAATTCCAAATAATTCTAGATATAATATTTTTAATAATCTCTAGAGAAATAGTAATTCCAGATAAGTTTTTTCCACAATTTTCTCTCTCTCTCTCTCTCTCTCTCTCTCTCTCTAGACGCTCTTTTAGATGTACATGCGCTGATGTCTGGAACTCTATACCGGCAGATATCCGCAAGGAACCTTACTGTACTTTCAAGAGTAGTTTGTACACATTTCTAATGTTAAATAATTCCTAATTATCACTGCATAGTTTTTGTTTTCTGTTTTGTTAAATTTTACTCTAATGTTTGTTGTCTATATTTTTTCGCCGTTTTATTTTAAATTGTCTAATTTTTACATATTGTCTCTTTTTTTTCTTATATTTTTTTTTATTTGTATATATTTTTTATTTTTTATATTTTTTTATATTTTTTATATCTTTCTTACTTTGTAGCTTACTTATATTTGTATTATCACTTACTCTATTTGTTCATTTGTGCGCTTGAGGGGTCTGTCCCAGAGCGCCTTTATAAATAAAGCACATATCTATCTATCTATCTATCTCTAGAATTTCGGAGGAAATTACATTTCAATTAGCTTCGGCCGCTGATACAAAGCAACACACATTCCAACGTGGTGTTCCTTTGTTTCCGCGCTATCTCGAGATTCCGCTTGCGTTACACGCCGGTGATAAAAGCGTGCGCGCGCGCGCGCGAGCAACGAGCGTCGACGTTCGAATACTCGCGTTATCGATCCCTCGCGTTATCACTCCCCGTGGTCTCTCGTCGGATAGATCTGGATTTGGCATTTAAGTTCCTCCCTCTCCCCCCCCCTCCCCCTCTTTCACCGAAAACGGGTTTTTAACCGGTTCGCCGGATAATTTGTATTGACGTTGAACGGATGCGCGGCCACGGACGATTTCGCCGATTCATCGGCGTATCGCGACACGAAGCGCCTCGGGGTGCCCGCCGCGCTCTTCCCTTTTCTACCTCCCCCCCCTCCCCCCCGTCTGTCTGTGCATTTTTCTTTGATGCCTCTCGTCGCAGAATACTTGGTACAAACGAGGCGGAACGGACGTTCAACCGGGAGCAGACAAGCGGGAGCCCCCCCCGCGTCCCGTTCGCGCAGGTCCCCCTCCGCCCCCCTCGCGCTTGTCCGATCGAATCTAAATGCTTATAATAGGATTTCGTTATCTAATTATACGACGTAGAAACTCTCGTTCGCCGGAGAAGTCGTCGATCGCGCAGCTGTCGCTTGTTCGAAATATATTGTTTCACACACTGCACCGCGAATCATGAATAAAAATTTATAAATTTAACCCAAAAACAAGCAGATCTCTTATTTGCTCTGTTAATTTTGTTTGTTTTTATTTATTTTTTTTTTTTCTTCCTCAGAAATCACCGCAACTCGCGCGCCGCGATTTCTGTCGTCATTTATATTTTCACGTTCGTCGAAATATCGCGCTTAGAATTAGAATATGCGCGTACGCGTTCCCCGAAAACACACCACAGCTAATGAATCAAAACCCGGTTACATCAATTTTTAGGTTACTTATTGACGAGGGTCGAGAAGAAGATCGGCTCGCCGGAGAAACCGCTCTCGGATCTGGGTCTGATCTCGTACCGCAGCTACTGGAAGGACGTTCTGCTGCAGTACCTCTGCAATTTCGGCGGCAAGGAGATCTCCGTGAAAGGTAGGTCACGCGAGCTTCTCTCTTCTACGCCCGACAAAACCGCGTTTTGTGTCAGTTCTTTCCTCCTGGACATTCCTTTTGACATTTTCCGGGAAACGGAAGAGACGATTTAAATATTCATCGGCGCGCCGAGACGCCGAAAGTGCGCTAATGCGACTCCGCGGATTTTCTCTTTTTCCTCCGATCGATTCTCGACGCGTACGTTTGAAAAACTCTCTCTCGCGACGAACAAAATTTACATATCGTTGCATTATTCGCGGAAAAAAATCTCTCAAATGTCATCAAAAAAATGATTTGAAATCGACGAGAAAGAAAAGAGATAAAAAAATAGAGAGAGAGAGAGAAACTTTTTCCCGAGATATATATATTTTTTTTTTTTTCAAGTTATTATCGCGTCGAAAAATTTAACGATAATCCACGCGTTGACGGATATATATATATATANTGATTTGAAATCGACGAGAAAGAAAAGAGATAAAAAAATAGAGAGAGAGAGAGAAACTTTTTCCCGAGATATATATATTTTTTTTTTTTTCAAGTCATTATCACATAACTTTACTCCAAGATGTTTGATACTTACTTATATATATATATATATATATATATATATATATAATATATGGATTTTGGCGTTTGCGCCTCGCGAGACGGGAGTATAATCGTCGGGCAAAGCGAATTTACACTGCATTGTTATTGATCCGATGGTCAAGTTTTCCCCGAACGTAACTGGTTTTAGCGGTTGAATAATTGTATCCGCGAAGCACGCGGGATAAACCCGCGTACCCCTCCCCCCTCCTCCCTCGGCCGCCGCTTAAAACCGCAGCAGATTATATATGATTCATCATTTCCGCGTTTTCGCGACTGAAACCGCTCCCGAAACCTTCTCTCGTTAAGTTTATTATCATTTATATATCAGAATCCCCGCGCGTTAAACGGGGGGGGGGCGGGGGGAGAACTCGCTATTACAAACGAATCAACGTGAAACAATCGTCTCTAATTTTTGGAATTTTCGCAGCCGCGCTTCTCCCGAAGAGAGTTACGCGCCGAGAAAAATTTCAAAATTGAAACAAAGAAATGCACATAAATTTCATCGACATTTTCAAGATCGAATACACTGAGAAAAAAAAAATACTATTAAATTCAACTAAATGCGTTTAGTTGAGTTTCAGTTTGTTATCTGAAATATCTATGTTTTTTTTAATTCAAGCATATGGTAATATTTATTTATTTAGACACTTCAGGCCTATATGGCCACAAGAAGGGGACTTGGTTACAATAAGTCTAATCTCACACATCCTTCCATGCCTTCCATACCACTTACTTCTCGCTTATTTACACTTACCTTTACAATTCCCTTAAATCAACTCAACTCACATATTTATCCTCTTTTTTCTTTTTCTCTTTTTTCTTTCTTTTCTCTATTTTCTATTTTATCTTTATCCTATTTTTTCATCTTTTTATCCTTATCCTAAGCTAATCTGGGTATATATACACCTACACCTAAATCACAGAATATTTATTAATCATTGTATTATATCAAGCATATGGTAATAAAAGATAACAAATTCGTACAAGTTGAATTAACAATAGTGGTAACGAACATATATTTAATTCACCAAATCATGAATTTTGTTTTGTCGAACATAAGTTGTGATAATTTCAAATAAACGATACTGTTAAAAAAAGATGAAATAAGGCAATTCTAATTTACTTTAATTGAATATAATCTGAATTTTTTTCTTTCTTTTTTCTATTTTCTATTTTATCTTTATCCTATTTTTTAATTTTTTTATCCTAAGCTAATCTGGGTATATATACACCTGCACCTAAATCACAGAATATTTATTAATCATTGTATTATATCAAGCATGTGGTAATAAAAGATAACAAATTCGTACAAGTTGAATTAACAATAGTGGTAACGAACATATTTAATTCAACCAAACCATGAATTTTGTTTTGTCGAACATAAGTTGTGATAATTTCAAATAAAAGATACTGTTAAAAAAAGATGAAATTAGGCAATTCTAATTTACTTTAATTGAATATAAATCTGAATTTCTTTGTACCAAGTATTTCATCCAATCAAACTGCTTGTTTTTATAAGCGGACAAAATATTGCGTTGTCCTATTGTGTTGTACATTCAAAGTTACCTGTATTTAAGCAAATTATATAATTTTGTTAAAACAACTAAATTGTCTTTCGGTATAACCCTAATTATTATATCCATCAATCAATATTTCATCGACAGCCCGTGACCGCTGCGTGTCAGTTGAATCAAATACTATTTTGTTGCTTCAACAACTTTTTTTTCTCAGTGTACAAGCGCCACGTCGTCGTTCGATTTCGTTACTTTCCGACGTTTGATAACGACAAATACGAAGTTTCCTCGTTTTCGAGATTTTTTCTCGTCGACGACACGCTTCTCAAATATTCGAGCGTGGTAGGATAAAACCCTCATCAAGATAAAGCTTCGGTAATTCCTCTTTCCAGATATCAGCAAGGAAATGGCCATCGACTCGTACGATATTGTTAGCACTTTACAGGCGCTGGGTATGATGAAGTACTGGAAGGGCAAGCATATCATCCTGAAGAAACAGGTAGGGGCGCCTCTTTTGTTATTCTAATCTGCCACGCATACGTGCGCACGAGAGAAGAGAGTAAGGGGGATTTCCTTTTCCCTTAACGCGTTTCTTTTTCCCTCTTTCCGCGAGAGATAGCGTCGTGTTGTTCAGTCTTCCGTTCGCGCGTTGGTTGTGTCGTCGTTGCTTGTCAGATTTATCGCGACCGGTTTTTGAAAAAAAAAAAAAATTCATAGAACTCACCGATCGCCGGTGAGCAATACAAAAAAAAACGAGCGCGTTGTGAAGATAGAACGAAAAAAAAAAAAAACCAGAGATACAGATATCGAAAAAGCGATAATGAGTCGGATAAAAACACACAATGGAAACTCGACGATTTGATAAATATTTATCGTTCCGCAAGGGGAGTTTTCTCTCTCCCGTTCGGTTCAACGCAGGAAATATTAGACGTATCTCATTAACGCGATTATGACGCGCCAGAGCGATTCAATTTCGCGGTCGTTCGTCACTCGACGACGAAACCGACGCTCTAAAACCGAACGCGCCAACGGCTACACAACGAAGCGCGTAAGGGAGGGTGGGGAGAAGGGGCTAATTATCGTTTTGATTAATTCGACCGTTCCCCTCGATTATACTCACATTTCTCGTCATTGTACGCATCCCTTGTCTCGGGGGGCGGGGGGGGGGGCGAGAGGGGGGCGCGCCGCCGTCGTCGCCCGGGGCCGTGTAAAAGAGGACCGTTGAAATAATTTCAGGACGTGATCGACGACTACAAGGAGAGGGTGAAGAGACGGGGTCCTGTCAAAGAGATCGATCCGGAGTGTCTGAAATGGAACCCCTTCCAGCCGCCCAAGACGCCCTCCGCCTCGAACTAAGGCCTGTTGGAGCCAGGAGAAGAGCCTTTGGAACTACGCCACCTTCTCTCTCGCCCGATCTCTCCTCTTCCTCCTAAAACCCACCCTCTTCGCGACGCGACTCGACGAGACGACGGTCGATCCTCGCGTTCTTCGTCGTCGTCTTCGTCGTCTTCGTCGTCGTTGTCTCCGTCTTCATCTTGTCGTCATCGCATTCATCCATGTCCCACGATCTTTCCGCAGAGGGAAGCCATAAGCTCTCAGCGCCACACCGACGAGATTTCACGCCCGTAACGTTTCAAGGCAAGAGCCGTGAAAATCTTTCCAGGAACTCCCTCGTTTATGCGGTATGCGAGAAAGAGAGAGAGAGAGAGAGACGGGGTGAGTATCACGGCACTTCTATTGGCGATATCGTTAAGGCTCGCCGCCGCCGCAGGGAGGAGAGGACTTGTCTCCGAAGAGGTCGGTTGTCGCGACACGAGGCGCTCAGTTTCGAAGCTCAGAGACCCTGGAAGGCTCGTTCACACTCGTACAAAAGGAAGCAAGAGGTCGACCGGGTCCGATAATTCCGACGACGCGTCCTGAAACGCGCGGAGTGAGACTTTAGAAAAAAAATAAAAAAAAAAAAACACTCGTTGACGAAGGTAGACAAACGCGGGGGGGAATGAGCGACGAAAATGCGTCGCTATCGTATCTTAGTCGACACATTTATTTTTTGACGTTTCTCTTCCATCTCCGGACAAATTAACGTTTGTGTTGTACAGCACAGTTTTTAGATTTTAGTATAATTTTTTTTTTTTTTTTTTTTTTGCGCGCGTAGTAATTCGATGTAAATTACTTTTTTTATTATACATAAAAAAGATCATGCGATTTGCCGTCGATGTATGTAAATGTAACGAATGCTTTTATGTGAATTATGTAAATATATATATATATATATATATAATCTCGATTTTTGAATTTTCGTAAGTAAAAGTTTCAAAAACTTCATGTGAAATCGTCCGTCTGTAATCCAAATGCCAAACAAGCAGCTTTTTAAGAGCTGTTAATAAATTATTTGTATAATATTTGTTTATTATTATTAGGTTTTTTACAACTAACTTTTTTATTTCTCTCTCTGTGTATCTCCTTGTGTACAAAGAAATTATGGCGTGTTTTTTGTACATTTTTGTAATTCAGAGTTTATCTCGCGTATTTTTATTTATACGAATCGTTAAAATATAAATAAGAACGCGGTAACAAATATCAAAAAAAAATGTTGACGTTTTGTTTTTCTTCTATGTTTTAAATTATTAAGTGTGCGTAAAACTGAAAAGAAAAAAAACAAATTTCGACGATTATGTTCGTTTATTGTTTCTCGCACATTCCTCGCTCTTCGTTTCACAAGAAAGAAACGAAGTTGCGGGGAATTCTTGTTAATCGATGAGAGATCAAAATTTATATCATTAAGTGCGGGTTAAAACAATTTTTCTCGATCAACACACACCGTTACTTTGCGCAATCTTGTAACAAGGGCTGTTCCATGTGATAAGAGACAGTTGAATAAAAATGTGAAAAAAAAAAAAAACTAAGTCAAAACTTGTCTGTGATGCGAAAGCGAATTTTTTTCTCATGGAACGGCCTGGAACAATCCTCGCAAGAACTTGGGATCTGTTAGAATTTAGTATTTTAGACTGTTTATGTACAAAACTTACGAAATATATTATTTACGAATTTGTCTCTCTTGCGTGTCACACTCTCCTGAATAATATCGCGTAGCGCGCACGCGCGCGCGCGCGCCCGCATTCCCGAGGGATTTTTACATGTAAGAGATTACGATCGAGCCGATATCTCCTGCGATAAGTGGGCTCTCTTCCTCTACACGCTGCGTCGATGCTGCGCCGTGGTTCGTCGGTGCATCGACCTTGGATATGCCTCTCTCGTTGGTGCAACCTCGTTGGTGCAGTAAGTTGCATAACAGCAACCGGGGCCGCGCGGTTAACACGCCGCTGGTGCATCGATCAGATTGCGTCGAATGCGCTTACGGCACGAGGCCGGGTGCACCACACGTTGGACCGCGCGCTTAAAATTCCCTCCTTCTCCTCCTCCTCCTCCTCCCTTCTTTCCCGCTCGTGTTTTCTTGAATTTTGCAACAACGCGGATAAAAAAAAAAAGAGGACACAGTCGACAGAAATGTTCGGTCTCGTTCGGTTTCAAAAACAAAAACAAAAAAAACACTTACGCGCGCCGGTGTACGTAATTTCATACAGGGTAAAAGACCCAATTACCGTCACCTGAATAATAAACTCTGGCGTTAGCGAATTGTTTTTACTACTTATTTATCAAAAACATGTGTTTTTCTTCTTATCTGGTATTATTCGATGTCTCTGATATATTAGGTCTACCGGAAAGTTCTGTCCGTTTTTTGGAATAAAACAAAATACAAATTTTTCCAAATTTTTCAAAAATGGGATAATATACAAATTGCCCTCACGCTGGCAAGAAATCATTAATAATAATGGCAATTATATTGTTTAATAAAGTTTATTGACGGTAAAAAAAAATTTGTATTTTGTTTTATTCCAAAAACGGACAGAACTTTCTGGTAGACCTAATATATTTGTCGGAAATGAGAAATCACTTTTCATTTTCTCGTCTCTGACGTTGCAATGACGAACAGCCAACAAGAACTGTTTTTTGCCTAATATATTAGGTCTATCGGAAAGTTCTGTCCGTTTTTGGAATAAAACAAAATACAAATTTTTCTGAATTTTTCAAAAATGGGATATTCAAATTGCCCTCACGCTGGCAAGAAATCATTAATAATAATGGCAATTATATTGTTTAATAAAGTTTATTGACGGTAAAAAAAAATTTGTATTTTGTTTTATTCCAAAAACGGACAGAACTTTCCGGTAGACCTAATATATATATGAATGCATACATATATATATGTATTCACGTGCAATATTTTCCACGTGAGTTTTTTGGAATTGAAATAACAATTTTTTTAATTATATATGATGCTAATTTTGCATTTTGTATATGCAGGGTCCCCATCAAAAAATTAGTATCATATATGATTTAAAGAATTGTTATTTCAATTTCAAAAAACTCACGTGGAAAATATTACACGTGAATACATATATATATTAGGTCTACCGGAAAGTTCTGTCCGTTTTTGGAATAAAACAAAATACAAATTTTTCTGAATTTTTCAAAAATGGGATATTCAAATTGCCCTCACGCTGGCAAGAAATCATTAATAATAATGGCAATTATATTATTAATTAATAATAATGGCAATTACATTATTTAATAAAGTTTATTGACGGTAAGAAAAATTTGTATTTTGTTTTATTCCAAAAAACGGGCAGAACTTTCCGGTAGACCTAATAAGAAACAAAATAATATCGCCTCTCAAAATCTCTATTTTTATTTATAAATTTAATAATTAAAAAAGAACGACGCGAGAGACTATTACCGTCACTCCCTAAAAAATGAAAGAAATGAGACAAGAATGTTGAGTGGTGAATTTTTTGTTATATTAATTGCACTTAAAATTCTATGTTAGATTGTTTTTATGCTTAACTTTTTTTAGGATTTATTTAATATAATTAAATAAAATAGCTTAAGGTGACAGTAATTGGACGGGTGACGGTAATTGGGTCTTTTACCCTATTCCCCTATTCTCTGAAGTTTTGCGAAATTGCGATCTCAACTTGTAAGTTGCGTATATGAATTTTTTCTTAAGCGAACAATCTTCGTGTACTCGAGAATGACTTATCTCGCGAGTCGTGTAATGTCAAAATTGTATCCAGTTCGAGGCAGCTCGCTCGGTGAGTCACTCCGCCGTTAAATCGTTTTTTTTTTTTCTCATAATTGGCTTGGAAAGAAGAGAGAGAGAGAACGGACGGAGATCTTTACCGTTTAATATCGGTAATAAAATACCAGCGATACACAGGATAATTTCGCCGTTAAAATGCGCCCGATACTGCACCGCGGCCGCAAGACATAGGCACGAGAGATACGTTATTGATCGGTCTACCAAGGTGCATGCTTGGCTGCAGAATAGAGAGAGAGAGAGAGAGAGAGAGAGAAAGAAAAAAGGGAGAGAGAGAGAGAGAGATTTGCCAACGATGCAGAAGCCGACCGGCCTCGATCGCGCCGTCGAAGCAATGTGAAAATAACTCGAAACAGCTATCGAGTCAAGGTTATTGCGCGAGGTTCAATTTAAATAAGTGTATTCTTTGCCCTCCGGGGACACACATCGCGATTTCCAGCTGCTCACGGCGGCTGAGAAATATCCGAACGGTCGGTGCGCGCGGCAGCAGTTGGAAACCAAAAAAAAAAAATTTCTACAACACATGTGATTATTTGCAATTGTTTAAAAATCCACTATCTCTCTAATTTATTGTTTTAATTAGTAGTGTATATTATTTTTAAAGCGATTGCGAATGTGTAGTCGCGGCAATATTTTCTTCGAGTACGGAACGATATTAAAAACCAAAAAAAAAAAAAAAAATGAATTTCGTTCTCAAAATGTTATTTTTTTGGAAATATTCGATTTCGAGTGGTCGCTCTTCGGAGAATTCGATGACGAACGAAAATCTCTCGTTCGAGTCCCGAGTCGTATCGCGAGTGTCCGATAAAAAAAAAAATCCGCGTTTGTCCGCGGACTCCGCGAGCGTACAAACAAGGCGCGTGTGTGTTTTGAGCGTTGAATTTTAATTAATTTATAGATCGTCGCGACTTGCCGCTGGTGTTTCGCGCGCATAACCGATGCACTTTAACAACCAAACCACGTTCCCAGAGAACTTTCCCAGTTCGCGTGTACTGATGATTTCGAGCTTTGTCGCCGTGAGCGATGTCGAGAGAGAGAGGCTCGACTTCGCGAACTTGCTCAACTTATGCGCGCGCGCGCGCGCTGTGTGTCAAACTATCGAGAGAGCGCTTTCATATCTCTGAAACTCCCGCGAGAGTGTATTCTCTCCTCGTGCAAATGTATCGCGCCGGACACGGAGCGTCGCTTTACGGGAATTGAAACCTGCGCGACGTTCAAACAGCGACCAATTGTGTGTCGTCGTTTCCATTACGGTTAATTATTTGAGAGATCGCGCGTCTCTCTCTCTCTCTCTGTCTGTCTGTCTGTGCCATTCTTATAAATTTTAATTAAAACCACTTCATTTGAACGAAGAATCACCGACGTATCGTGTCATATTTATGAGAGAGAGAGAGAGAGAGAAAAAAAAAACAACGAGATTTTCTTCACCCCATCCGCGCGCCGTCCGTCGTTGAAAAAGTCGCCGAAAAAAAAGCTGGGGTTTCAACCTGTATCTGTTTACTCTCGTGTTTCTCTCAATTTCCTCGACCCCTTGACCCCGTCGCAATCCCGTTGTCGCACTCGATATATTTTTTTACTCAACGGTTACGCGCGATATTATTTATCTCACGCGGCGAGAATATTGTGCGACAGATAGAATCGGGGGGTCGGGGGGGGTTGAAACCAGGGACTTATTACCGGTGTGATTTTCAATACCGGTGTTATACTAGAGATTGTAATACCGTTACCGTTATAGTACCGAAAACCGATATGTACCGAAAACCGTAATAAAATACCGGTATTATTTCGGTATTCCTACACCGAAAAAATTATATTCTTGTAA